AAGTGATTTCTTTAATCAGAGCATTAACAATTTGATTGTAAGATGGAAAAGCATCATCGATAAGAATGGAGACTATTTCATTTAATAAAAGTTTTGTTTTGATATTTAAGCTGTTTGGTTTTTTTCATCTCAGAAAAAGCGACATTAATTTGTTGACGACCTAATATTTCTTCTGGGTGAAGTTTTAGAGAAACGTGTCGATAGATAATGGTAAAGTTTTATTAACCAGTTAGTATGGGTCTGGAGAGATTTATTGTTATTAACCAGTTTATGTGGATGGGTTTTATGGAGACGCGGGTGGAGAGGTTATGGGTCTAATGCTATTAACCAGTTAGTATGGTACTGGAGAAATGTATTGTTATTAACCAGTTTATGTGGAGCGGTAATGGGTATAATTATATTAACCAGTTAGTATGAGTCTGGAGAGATTTATTGTTATTAACCAGTTTATGTGGATGGATTTTATGGAGACACGGGTGGGGTGGTAATGGGTCTAATTGTATTAACCAGTTATTATGGGATTGGAGAGATTTATTGTTATTAACCAGTTTATGTGGATGGGTTTTACGAAGACACGGGTGGGGAGGTAATGGGTCTAATGCTATTAACCAGTTAGTATGGTACTGGAGAAATGTATTGTTATTAACCAGTTTATGTGGAGCGGTAATGGGTATAATAATATTAACCAGTTAGTATGGGACTGGAGAGATTTATTGTTATTAACCAGTTTATGTGGATGGGTTTTACGGAGACACGGGTGGAGAGGTAATGGGTCTAATGCTATTAACCAGTTAGTATGAGTCTGGAGAGATTTATTGTTATTAACCAGTTTATGTGGATGGATTTTACGAAAACACGGGTAGAGCGGTAATGGGTCTAATGCTGTTAACCAGTTAGTATGGGTCTGGAGAGATTTATTGTTATTAACCAGTTTATGTGGATGGGATTTACGGAGACACTGGTAGAGCGGTAATGGGCCTAATGCTATTAACCAGTTCGTGTGGGTCTGGAGAGATTTATTGTTGTTAACCAGTTTATGTGGATGGACTTTCTAAAGAGGTTTATCATTATTAACCAATTTGTGTGGATGGACTTTCTAAAGATGTTTATTGTTATTAACCAATTTGTGTGGATGGACTTTCTAAAGAGGTTTATCATTATTAACCAATTTGTGCGGATGGACTTTCTAAAGAGGTTTATCATTATTAACCAATTTGTGTGGATGGACTTTCTAAAGAGGTTTATCATTATTAACCAATTTGTGTGGATGGACTTTCTAAAGAGGTTTATGATTATTAACCAGTTCTGTGGATGGACTTTCTAAAGATGTTTATTGTTATTAGCCAGTTCTGTGGATGGACTTTCCTGAGGGATTTGTTGTTATTAACCTGGTCATTAAGATGGACTTTATGAAGAGGTTTATTTAGTTACTATTTGATGTGAATTGTTTTCTTGAAAGGTTTGTTACTAATCAGTTGGTATGTAAATTAACTTTCTGCAAACACTGGTGGCGAGTCTAATATTAGGGACAATATGGAGTAGTAGACAGTCAAAGTTCTCCTTTTACTGTAAAAGCTCATGGGTTGATCCCAAGTTCAATGCCGACCATTATTCATATAAAGAACTACAGTATTTGTAAATGTTAGAAGATATTTTAAAAACTGTTAAATTTTGTGATTTTATTAACATCGATTATCTTAAGTTTCACCGTCCCCCCTTTAAAAACAATAACGTGATATACACGTGACAATTGCGTCATTACCCAATGTAGCTTCATGCCAGCTGAAACAAGTCGACAGTAACATCAGTACCCAATGTAGCTTCATGCCAGCTGAGACAAGTCGACAGTAACATCAGTGCCCAATGTAGCTTCATGCCAGCTGAGACAAGTCGACAGTAACATCAGTGCCCAATGTAGCTTCATGCCAGCTGAGACAAGTCGGCAGTAACATCAGTA